GGTGATAAGATTGTCTCTTTCCTTTCAAGAACATTTTTCACAATTGCAGCCTCTGAAGCCTTTACCTGTCAAGCTTCACCCATGAAGCGAGAGACACAACTCCACCCTGCTGTCTGTGATAGACAGTGCTGAGGCTGCTGAATCTCTGATACATTACTGTTAGCGGGGGGCACTGTAGAGACAGACAAGATGTGGGCCTTTTCTTTGTAGCTTTTTATCACATTATCGTGTATTCTTAACAAATGTGAATTCAAGGCTCCTATGTATCGCAGTACTGTCGGCATTGTACATCATAAGAGGTTGTCATATTTAGCGAGACATCAATATACAGTTGAGAAGTTCGCTGTGCAGAGTTGCATCCCTAATGGGTACCAGACATCAACGATCGTTGGTTCGAATCCCGGTTCGACCTGATTGTTTCTTGGTTTGTCAGTACCATACCTGGCTTATGAGTTTGATCAAAGTGGTAAACGTCTAAGACCTGCATCATTTCGTACTTTCCTCTCACATTAAACTGACACGCCGTCATACAACGGAAATACAAAAAAGTCATGTACTATTCAAAACGGCGTAAAACCCTTCTCATTTTAGCTAGAGAACAGTGCTTGCTTCCAATTTCAAATGGTGGTTTAGGGGAGTGGAAAAGAGATGCCGGACAGGAGGGTCACAGAAACAAGACAAGTTTGTCGACGGGCATGGTTAAAAAGGTTCCATTAAACTGAAGAGAGTAGAGGAATTTAGGGGTGACTTGGGCGTATTTCACATGTATAGAAGAAATAATTCACTCAACGCCCGTGTTTTACCCGAGGATTGTAACTGACTTAAAACACATTTTAAGGGTTATTGAGAAAAAATGTACGTGTAATGCAGTACACAGCACAAAGTCCGATGACAGTTTCCACTTATGTTCTATGTCAATAAAATACCCCCCCCGAAATACTCCACTTCAAAAAATACTTTCATTTCCAAAACATTCCAAATTATTCAAATCTGAAAGTACGTAATTTTCCAAATAAAACTATTATTTTGAAATGTTATTAAATTGTTTATGAAGAACAGGCACATATAAAACGTCAATGCAAGAGAATAACCAGTCTCGATTATCTGCCGAAACAGATTCCTTTGGGCGTAGAAGACCAAATAGCGGTGACAATGATATGATTGGATCAAGAAAATCAGTAAACTCGTTCAATACTCCAAACCGCGTTCCAAGCATCCTCACACCATCTCAATATTTTCTTGGAAAGATGATTGTAGTTGGAATGGGAGTTCTCGGACTTCTCCGCGAGCGTAGAAACTCGGACATGTTTGTGTGAGACATGAGAATATTTGACACTGCGTAAATCTCATTTCTGGTGCTCCCCCGCCTTGATTTTGCTGGAATATTGTTAAAAGCGGCGTAAAAGCTGGCTCAATCAATCTTCGACTTCTTATGTTGGCGAAGCAACCATCCATCACTTTATTGCATCATCAGTTATTCCTGACGTGGAAAATGTCACCGACTGAGTGAGAGAGTGAGTATAGATTTACGCCGCTTTCAGCGATATTTTTAGCAATATCACGGCGGGGGCCACCAGAAATGAATGGGCTTCACACATTGTACCTATGTGGGTAATCCAACCCAGGGCTTCGTGCATGACGTGTGAACGCTTTAACCACTAGGCTACCCCACCGCCCAAAGAAGAAAGATCTCGTGTTTCAGTCATTAAAATGTTCCACCATGTCAGGTTTTGCTCAGTGTACAATACCTTGTACAGGTTATGCTGACACAATGTACCCATGTTGGGAATCGAACTCGGGTTTTCCGCGTGACCTGGGAATGCTTAAACCACTAGGCTATCCCACCGGACGTCAACGGGTAAAGCGCAATTCCTTTACTTGCAGCCACCCATATCATCTGCTCGCTACAACCGGGAACTGATCCGACTCTAGCTGGCCAATCAAAACTACCGGGAGACGTTGGCCTGCTTCCGGTTCAACTTCGACATGTCGGACAACAACCTAAGGTTCAAATTCGATATGTTCCTAAAATGAAACGTCTCAGAAAATGAACGTATATTCAATGTTTTCGTTTTCCTAAACACTATTTTCCATTCCTTTTTGGGTTGCATGGTTTTTGAAATTTATGTAAAATTAACTGATCGTTTTTTTTGGAAAGAATGAAAAATATATTTTGTAAAGGTATTCCAGGATCGTCAAGGCGGCCTTGTCGGCCGTGTAGGTTAGATCATTGTATAGCGCATAAACGAATATATCAATTGTAAAGTCCGGAATGAGAGTAACTTCTCTTTCGTACATGAACAAAAAGCTTCATTAAAGGTGAGGTGAAATTGGGTTTAACGTCGCGTCCAAGATTATTGCACTTATATAGCGACGTGCATGCACGTGTATGTGTGTGTGTGGCTGCTTGTACTAGTCCGGACTGATGCCGATTTATAGTGCTAGCTCACTGAGATACCATGCCGCAGTTTAACATGAATACCCCACTCAGACACAGCATACTGACTCCGAGCCGACCAGTCCTTGTTTTAGCCCCTTAATGCCGAGCGCCAGACAGGGTAACAACAAGTACAATCTTTTAACGTCTTTTTGTATGACGCGGCTGGGGATCGAACCCTGGACCTTCCGCTCTCCGGGCGGACGCTCTAACACAAGACCACGGAGGCGGTCTACTTCATTAAAAACTATGTGGATTCAAGTTGTTTTAAGTTAACCACAGCATTTTATGTGTTTGTAATTATTTTGTATTTATTTTGTTTTTGGTAATTCCATTTTTACATTTAAAAATTTCGCAGTACTTTGCTATACATTGTAATTGTTGTGTTCAGTGCATGACATATTTTCTTGCTATGAAATAATATCGAGCAATAGCGGGTCCATTCGTCACTTTGAGCCCAACTCGGCCCAAATGGTGGACATCAGCTCCGCACAGAATGGGTGTGTGTCGGAAAGCAGCTCTGTGATCGGTCGATATCGTTAACGTATTCGTTTGTATCTTTGACCAAATGCAGTACAACTTTGAAACAGAAAGACCTATGTCTATAGTTCAATGACAAGTTTTTCCGGTTAAATGACATGACTTCCGGTAAGAAAAACATGTGTCTAATGCAAGACAACTTTAAAACATAAAGATGTGTGAAGCCAGTTTCTGGTGTCCCCCGCCGTGATATTGCTTGAATATTGCTAAAAGCGGCGTTAAACCATACTCCCTCACTCACTTAAAACATAAAGTGTTATGCCTCTAATTACATTTATAAGAACATTATATCCACTTCCGGTTTAGTGATATCATGTCCGGTTTGGGAAAACATACGCGAAATGAACAACTGGGAAACAAATGCCCTATCGCTATGCCTGTAGCCTGTAGGCCGTAGCTACCTCAAATAACAAAGCTATAAGCAGTTTGATAAAACAGTTTAATCCCGGTACAATAATATTTCCAAGTCACCCGTGTTAACTCAAGCCATGAAGTCATCTCGCAAGACGAACTGCTTAGGACCAGTTCTTACCAGGAGGAGCGGTGGGGTAGCTCACTGGTTACGGCGTTCGCTCATTACGCCGAAGATCCGGGTTCGATTCCTAACATGGATAAAATGTGTGAAGACCTTTTCTGGAATTGCTGGAATATTGCTAAAAGCGGCGTAAAACCATACCTACTCACACACTTTAACCAGGAATCCTGGAGGTAGCCCATCAACTAATGCTCTATTTGGAATCAGTCTAATCAGTAGTAGTATCTGTTTGGTCACGCCTGGACAGGCCAGGGCATCCTACTGAACCAAGTATCTGTCTGAATCCCACGCTTGACTGACTCAACTAGCAATCTGATAAAGGGAGGAGTAATTTCGGCAAGTGAAACATTGGTCATGACGTCATGTCGCTGGTCATGTTTCTTAATACAGGTAAAGGGACGGTGGGTAGTCTGTGTTTACAGTGTTGGGTCATCATATCCATCACTGACTTTAGACCAATGATGTGCACTTTAAATATGTTTAGGGATGGTGGGGTAGCCTAGTGGTTAAAGTGTTCGCCCTTCACGCAGAAGGCCTGGTTTCGATTCCCGCATGGTTACAATGCGTCAATCCCATTCTGGTGTTCCCCGACGTGAGATGGCTGGATTATTGCTAACTGCGGCCTAAAACCATACTCGCAAATATGTGACTAATATTTGATTGATGATTAACGCCGCACTCATCAATATTCCAGCTATATGACGACTGTCTGTGAAGAACTGACTTTCACTTTGAGTTCATTGCAGTACGAACCTTCATAGAATGAGGGTCAAACTGTATGAACGTCGGAACTATTTGTACCTCAAAGGACGTATACCTTGATGTGTATACACAATTATGTTCAGTATATATACGTGTTAGCTTGTACACTGACAGCCATACAACAACCAGCTGTATCGCGGAATAAAATAGTTCCTCAAAACGAGAGGTGACATGAGCTTATGTATGCTCAACATGCTCAACAGTAACAACTTGCTAAATGAGAAAGGTTTGTTAAGAACTACCTCACTCACAATGACTGCGCCATAATACATTTACACCAAGAACAAGACGTCGAAATGGCCGACACGATAAACGTGACGGAAGAGATTTCCGAAGTTTTTAATGAACTGGCACAGGTTGCTCGGGATCAATTCTGACAGATATGGGGCTTAACGTCGCGTTCAAGATTACTGATCTTATGTGTCGACGTGCAGGCAACTAGTCCCGACTAATACCGGTTTTGAAGAGCTAACCCACTGCATGCCGCAGTTTAACATGGATATACCACTCTAACACATTATACTGACTTCAAGCCGATAATCCTCGTTCTATCCCCTTAATGCCGAGTGCCAGGCAGGGTAACAAGTACCATCTTTTAACGTCTTTTGGTATGACGCGGCCGGGGATCGAACCCCGGACCTTCCGCTCTACAGAAATAGGTAGTACAAGAAAACGATACACATTTGAATGCTTTAATTACGTTACTGCATGAGCACATAAACATGTCTAAAAGACACAGTAGCCAGGCTCCCTCAATGTTGGTTTAGTGCAGTCGTTGATGCTTCCGGAAATGACGTCATGCAGCTGTGACTGGCTGAAGCAGTTGACTCTCCCCAAGTATATTGGACTTTGCACGAGCGGCACCAGATCGCAGTCACATCTCAGGGTCGGATAGGTTATTGTTCTCAGGCCTTTCAGTGCTTGACATCCGATGTTCATGATTGAACCACCGGTCATGAAGGCGTATGTTGAGAAGACGTTGGGTCCAAAGTTGAAGGCGTAGCTGTTGATGGTGGTAATGTTGTTGTGGAAAACATTCAGACTTGTACCGCTGGTGATCTTGTTAAAGGCGTATGTTTGGATAGTTGAAATGTTGTTTGTGTTAAGGCTTAGTAGGGTTATATTCGACAGTCGGTAGAAAGCGTTGGAGGAGATTTGCCCGATCTGGCAATTGTGAATGGAAATTGACCGGCCGACATTGTGAAGGTCTTTGAAGGCTCCCAGACCTATGACGCCAATACGGACATTGACGATGCCAATTGACTTGGCAGGAATCTCTCCGAAGGCACATGTCGCGATGAAGCTGATATTGCCATTCCGGATGAAGATGGATTCCAGCTTGGGTACTGCTTTGAAGGCGTTGAAGTGGATGCTGCTATTGATGTTGTCGATCTGGATTCGGGTGACGCTGGGGGAGGAAAAACTGGGCAGGGAGTTGATGCGGTTGCAGTTGATGGTGGTGGTGGAGCAGGAGCAACCGGTCGGACACTAGGCTGAACACAGACCGACAGCCACCAGCAGCAGCAGAAGACGGAGAGTCTGGGGGAGAGAAGATAAATGAAACAGCTGTTTTGATAGCCGCCTCATCTCGAGAGCACTTGCACATAATAATATTTTAACGAATTGTTGCAGAGTTGCGGTACAATATTCGGACAAAAGAAAGTACACCTATGTTTGATGGTAGCTAAAATGAAACAAACAAGAAACGGTTATTCGATAGTGATGCATTTGATACGGGTATCATAGGTGTCTTTTGGACCTTTAGTTTGCAGTGTTTCGGGGACAGTTTTCAGCCTGGTATTGTTTTGATAACGTTTGTAATCTTTTGGTCAGGTCTCGTTTTCAAGTGTATACTTTCTTTCCCCGGCAGTCAAAAACAATGTCAGTTTATTTTCCAATCCAATTCAGCACCACCACATACCAATAGGAAGTATTTTTTTCTCCTCACTCATTACCTTGATTGTTCTTCGTTGTTATTCAACAAACAGAATGCATTCATTCTTTGGTCAATTCAGAAATAATTTGACTACAAAGTCAATTCAGCGTTCGCTCGTCACACCAAAGACCCGGGTTCGATTTTCCATATGGGTACAATATGTGAAGCTCATTTCTGGTGTCCCCCGCCGCGATATTGCTGGAATATTGCTAAACGCGGTGTAAAACCATACTCACTCGCTTAAAGTCAATTCTTTCAAAATATGAAACAGGGTTACTTCATTTATCTTATGTATCTGAGAATGCATGCATTTATTTATTGTAGATTGCAAGCATTCTCTTATAAATATTTAATATTTTACTATTATTTATTCATTTTCTTTCTTTTGCATTCATTCGTCCACCATATCCTTTGATTTATTCGTTCGGAGTGTCAGCGTTATGCGGTAGGAATGCATTGTTGGCAGGTACCATTCAGTCAAATCCATGAGCACAGGTAATCATAATCAGAGCGAATCTAGGATACTAAGACACGATCAGCGGATCCTGACACGACTAAGGGACGCAACACAAAATTGCGTGGTCCTAGAACACTGGAATACCATTTCATACCGCAGAAGGTGAAAGTAGCTAAAAGGCAGTCTAATTAGTAATTCCGAATTTAAGATATTTATATTCCCATTGTGTAAATAATTTATTGATATTTCATAAAATGATTTGACATAAAATAAAAAGAAGACAATGGGTTAATATGTTGAACGAGTGATACTGATACATAACATGACACGACGATGCTACTGTAGCCGGTTTCTTTTACCGCTATGCGACTGTAGCAAATTTTCATATACGGCGATGCTACTGAAGCCACATTCAAATACTTCTATGCTACCGTGTAACACGTTTTATATCCCGCGATGCTACTGCAGCGAGTTTCACATACCGCGATGCTACTGTAGCGAGTTTCACATACCGCGATGCTACTGTGACGAGTTTCAGACACCGCGATGCTACTGTAGCGAGTTTCAGACATCGCGATGCTACTGTAACAAGTTTCAGACACCGCAATGCTACTGTAACGAGTTTTAGACACCGCAATGCTACAGTAGCAAGTTTCAGACACCGCAATGCTACTGTCGCAAATTCTAGATGTCACGATGCTACTGATGCGAGTTTAAGATACATCGATGATACAGCAGCAAGTTTTACACACTTCGATGCTACAGTAGCGAGTTTCACATACCACGGTGCTACTGTAGCGAGTTTCACATACCGCGATGCCACTGTAGCGAGTTTCACATTCCACGGTGCTACTGTAGTGAATTCTAGATAGCGCAATGCTACTGTAGCGAGTTTCAGACACCGCAATGCTACTGTAGCAAGTTTCAGACACCGCAATGCTACTGTCGCAAATTCTAGATGCCACGATGCTACCGATGCGAGTTTAAGATACATCGATGCTACTGTAGCAAGTTTTACACACCTTGATGCTACTGTAGCGAGTTTCACATACCACGGTGCTACTGTAGTGAATTCTAGATAGCGCAATGCTACTGAATCGTGTTTCAGATACATCGACGATACTGTAGCAAGTTTCAGACACCGCAATGCTACTGTGGCGAATTCTAGATGCCACGATGCTACTGATGCGGGTTTAAGATACATCGATGATACAGCAGCAAGTTTTACAAACCTCGATGCTACTGTAGCGAGTTTCACATAGCGTTTTCAGATACCGCAATGCTACTGTAGCGAGTTTCAAATACTGCGATACCGTGTATTTAAGGGGTACCATCAATCTTCACAACGACAATTTCAAGTGAACCACAAGGTACCTAACAATCCGTTTCACGATCTAATAACATGAGAACTCGAAACTCACCATTTTCAATCGTCGATGAACCTTCCTGGTTTGTCTCGTTCTGGCACACTGAATTAGCTTCTCAAGAATATTGATACAGCAAGTCCTCATATAAATACAGACGTGTTGGTTTGAGAAGTGGGCGTGGCCAGTACAGTCTTCCATTCAGTCCCACGTTGTAATAGTGTATCGGTGACAGGAAGTGTAAGGAACACTTTCAGATCCGTAGCGTGTACAGTGTCACCAAAACCCACAAACTGTTGGCCAGTAGGGCGTTCCCCTGTTGGCCTTGAGAAGGATGATATCTTTGTGTATGATCATGATACTGTCATACTTACTGGGGCTGGTCTGATTGGGACCCTGTACAAGCATGGTAATTCTCTGATACGGGCTAACTGCAAGGATTTTCAGATCGTAACCGAAAACTGCAAAGGTTTTTGAAAACAAGACGCTCCCTGGTTTTTATTATTTTTATCTTGAATCCTTATTCAATGTTTACTTTGATGAAATAAAATATACATATTCGGAGGTAAGTTATTTAAAAAAAGATTGGCATGTTGATTTCATAAAAAATATGTAAATTAAAGAGACAAACCCTTTCCATATTCACAAGAAATCGATGTCAAGCGTCAGTTGTACGATTCTGACTACATCACGAGCATGTGTTTCTGAATCACTATCAAACAGTGATGATACCAGGTGTTCGCGAAAAGGTGAGCATATCCTGCCCTGTCTGTGGCACAGCTCACATTGGTAGATGTTTTTACAGGACGATCGTAGCACCCGGAAGTGACGTAATGATAAACTGATGAACATGAAGAACGGATGAGGGTATACGGTAACCTCAGCACATTGTAAAGTGCATCATGTATCTTTAATACTCTCTTAACTTGGAAAGGTATGCCTGTCCCATCGGGACACATAACAATCCTGCCAGTTATGAAACGCAACACCATTTTATCAAACATACATGTTATGTCGTAGAGTAACTACATTACATAAAGTATAATTTGTCAGCTGGAACTGCCGACACAAACTTGAGCTGGCCATGGCCACAATTGTCTGACCGTTTCTCTTCTTTGATTCCCCCCTCGTATTTGGGTGGTGAGGTAGCCTAGTGTTTTAAAGCGTTCGCTCGTCACGCCGAAGACCCGGGTTCCAATCAACAATGTGTGAAGCCAATTTCTGGTGTCCCCCGCAGTAATATTGCCGGAATATTGCTAAAAACGGGGCAAAACCATACTCACTCACTCATTCACTCCCTACTCTTTTTGTTCATTTAGTAAAAAGACTGCCTCCGTGGTCTAATCGTAGAGCGTCCGCATGGAGAGGGGAAGGTCCGGGGTTCGATCCCCAGCCGCGTCATACCAAAAGACGTTAAAAGATGATACTTGTTGTTACCCTGTCTGGCGCTCGGCATTAAGGGGCTAAAACAAGGACTGGTCGGCTCGGAGTCAGTATACTGTGTCTGAGTGGGGTATTCATGTTAAACTGCGGCATGGTATCTCAGTGAGCTAGCACTATAAATCGGCATCAGTCCGGACTAGTACAAGCAGCCACACACACACACACACATACACGTGCACGTGCATGCACGTCGCTATATAAGTGCAATAATCTTGGACGCGACGTTAAACCCCATTTCACCTCACCTGATTTATTGAAAGGTCAATCTTCTTCCTATCTAATATATATTTGACTGTCTCTTCGACTTTGTATACAGTCATCAGAGGTTTGCCACCTATTGTATCGTATATCCTTTATTACACGCTCGGGCATCAATCGGGCTTCCATTTGAGGCCCGGCCTCTATTCTGTTTAGTGCTGACACAACGGCAACTCACTACCTTGCATCACAGACACCTCATCAGTAATCCATCGGACAGCGGGTACTCTGGATAAACAAGGTCTGAACAGGATTTCGGCTATAAACATACCTTTTTCCTGTGCCGTGCAGTGACGTTAGAAACGTTTCTCTAAACAAAAGTCCGAGGCGTTTCAGCACCTAACCCTCCTATCCAAAGATACATTGAACCTCGTTATTCCGGACGTTCTACTGGAATCGTACGGATAATCACATTTCTGGTTCAATCTCTTTAAAATCAGATGTAAGTGCTCGCTGCCGCTAAACAAAACTTTGTTTAGCGATAGCGAGAACTAAGATCTGATTTTAATGATATTAATTTCTGGTTTAGCAAGTCATAGTTACGGAGAAATATCACTTTGTAAGCGTACCCAGCACCCTGGGAGGTAGGTGTCCGGTATTAACAGTGTCCAGACTAACGAGGTTGTGTTATACTTTGTAAATTACATATACCCTACTCTAGGGTAAACACTATCCGCTCTTTGTGTAACACCACACCTTGGTATTCCGAACACAGTCAGTGGATATGTGGCAGGAACACGATACTTTCTCAGTTGAAGTACTTCCCCCATGCTTGAAAGAGAAAACGTGACACTTGGAAACACTATGTAAGACATATAAACATTTGTTGAAAACATTTCATAAAGAACCATTCGTGACAATTCGTGCGATTCTCCATGAACCTTGAACCCGGAAGACACGTGACACGTGCTTTCGAGGTACCGCTGAACAAGTTTGAGGTCACCAAACATTACAGATCCGCCTATGTAATCGCGCAGTGGTTTACGCTATTCAAACAATTGGCTAATTAGTTTTTTAGAAACCAATCAGAGGTCTTTTTAGTCAAACATTAAGTTTGTTACACACCTTAAAATAGCACAGGACATGGATTAATGCCCATCTAATCCAAATATATTCAAATTCATTGACATTATAAAAAAAAGAACAGTGTTTTGTAGAGTCACTGCTCCTGCAAATCAAGGCTGGTGGGCGACTTCCTCCAAAGAGGAGGAAGTACCGTAATGTGGATAGCGGTATTGAGAGGGAAAAGCAGGAGTTGTTGGCAAGGCTCAAGTCACCAACAGAATATGCTGATTCTGTGGCAAGATTTATTGGTTTGTGAGTTAAAATGTATGTGAAGTGTAAATAATTAATTTAATTTCTGACTTTAAGTTTATATATTTTGTACGTATGAACACATGTATGATTTATAATGTATGCTGTATGTACATGAGAAATAAAATAACGAAAGTCATGTTGCCCTCTTTGAAATCCCTTTTTAATCCTCATAATCCCTCTATTGTACCCTTGTCAGTAATGGTTGGGTAATTTTTAACCCAGAACAATAGGTGCCGGCAAACCGAGTTGTCCCTTCGTGGTATCCTCCCAAAACGACGATGTTTGGATGCTTGTGCTGGAGGGACTTGCCGATTCTGGAGTGGAAACCTTCTAGGTTGAAGCTTACTTACTTACTTACTTTGGAGATTTAACGTGCGCTTTCCGACTGATGCGTATTTCGCACACGACAGGTTGAAGCTCATGTTCAAATATATTTATATGTTATACCATACACAAGAGAAGGAAAAATTAGTGATTGAGAACATTTGGTATATTCTTACACAAATCCCACAACTTGTTTAAAGGTAATGTTTGAATAAGATTTGTGATTTCCCGGGAGCAGATTAAAGAAAGGAGGAGTTTTTTTTAAAGACAATGTTGTTGTCCACTACTGCTCATTATCTCAACATATTGATAATCCCTCATAGCAGGGGGGTGGACCAGTCCATTCATTAATTAGGTGTGACCAGCATGGCCCAATTAATTAGTGAGCTAATTTTAACTGTTTTTTGGGAGGTCTGCATTTTGGAGGTCTACGTTATGGGAGGGAACCCCCCTCGTCTGCCTTTACCTGGCAGTGTATAAGGAGCATTCGACTTTTGACGGTTGTAACAACATTGCATCTGGAGGCTAGTCGCCCTCCTGTGATTTTCTCCCCTGTCCAACTGACCTAAACAGTGAGAGGTCTATGTGTTCTCCGGCAACACTTCTAAACCCACTAAACGACCTACAAAATTTCAAGGCACTAGGTATTTTCCTTATCAAAACAGGCCTACTAGGCCGCATCTAATAAACTACAAAATCATTCTATACCATGCTAAAACCCTAGGACGTTCAAAGCCCACTAAACTTCTGCACTTTCACCGCGTGTGCTAAACATTTTGCTCAAGCCAATATGTTATGCTTTTGGTATGGCCCCATGACTATCGCATTCGTTTTATAATTGACAGAAAGTCGCTTTTGTTGATTATTTAAGCAATCGGGGCCATTAGTTTTTCTTTTAACAATTTGTCACAATCCTATTGTATAAAGGAGTCTTGTCATTCCAGATTGAGGTCATGTCTGTCTCGAGGCTGTTTGAATATACCTAGATGAGAGAGCTATAAAAACTATTACCGATAACCCATTGTATCATCAATATCAATAAATAGTATAGGCATTTTGAACTGATGTGTTAGTCAATATTCCATGCCCGAAAAATTATTTGGAACCGACGCGCATGACCGTTCATGTGAACGAAAAGTATAAGACATAACTCACTATGCTGAAATGTTCAGTGTGTTGATTCCCGCACACAAACTGCCGTCTCAACTACTCTAATTAAACACTATGCCCTTTTATTGCTATGTACAGACGCGGGGGTTAAACATGGTCTAATCACCAAATCAGCATAATGATAATTATGGGAGATGCTTACTGATTTGAGGCGAACAGGATGTTATGATTCATAACATTGTAGATGATTATCCTTGAATTGCTTCCCATTGGCACCCGACCCGACAGGATCCGGGGTAGAATAGGTCTTCTGAAACCCATGCTTGCCGCAACAGGTGACAATGCTTGTCGTAAGAGGCGACTAACGGGATCAGGTGGTGAGGCTCACTGACTTGGTTGATGCATGTCATCGTATCCCAATTGCGTGGATCGATGCTCATGGTGTCAATCACTGGATTGTCTGGTCCAGACTCGATTATTTCCAGACCGGCGTCATATAGCTGGAATATTGCTGAGTGCGGCGTTAAACAACAACCTAGGCCAGTTCTAACACACTGTCATCAAACCTCCCCGTGTCTTGACACGTGTATTGACACGGAGAAACATTATTACGAGGCATTGTGTCTTCCGTATGGATTTCCTCAAGAAAACTATATTTTATAAAACCATATTTTTGAAAACTTTATGTTCATCTTCAAATATTATAGTTATTGTTCCACAATATTGAAAGGTTTCTATTTTTATTATCATGGAAGATGAGGATGCTTATGTAAACTGATGTCTGACAGATGTTATGCTTGTATGATGCCCATGATATTCATGAATTTTCGTGTGTATTCATTTCTCTGTACTATAACATAATGGTTTATTTGACAAGAAAATGGAAATATGACGAAAACCAAGTAGAAACTTACTAAATATATATAATTGAAGCGTGACGAATTAATCCCTCTGTG